AATTGAGTTTTTTAGTACTTATATTCAGATTATACAAGAATATTTATGTGACAGAAACAGACTAATATGTGCAAACGAAAGGGAAGTTGGTGTAGTTTGCATGTACTAATTTGATGTTTCATTGATGATCTTGCGATAAAATACTGTGGCCACACTGAATTCATGTCTCTTTTATTGTAATTTTCAATAAAAGAATGCAAAAGATGTCTACAACACCTGGGATTCCCAGGCCGTCTCCGATCCAAGTACTAACCAGGCCCAACGTTGCTTTACTTGACAGGTCGGACGAGATGTCGTGCTTTCAACGTGGTATGATCGTAGACACTATAAGCTTTGTCGTCTCCTATTATGATCTATTCTTTCATTACCATACTGATTAATCTTCGTATTGATTCAAGTAGAGGTGAATTAGTTAATTTCTTGCACATCGTGTCAAGGGTTAGCAAATCCCGATGACCTTTCTACAAGCCCATGTAAAAAATTCCAACTGCAAAAGCAATTGTCAAGAATGACCGTAAACAATACCAATAGGGTTCGTTGGTGGTAAGTATGCCTTGGCTGGCAGCTTCCCGGAACTAAAGTATTTCGGTACCGAGAGAAGTATGGTTGAGTTGCAAGACTTCAAAATTTGACGAAAACATAACCTATCATAGTGGAATTCTAGAAACATGGCCATTTCCCTTCTATTGAACAATTTTGTGGCAGTTAAGCCAAATGAGTTCCAAGGGTTAGCAAATCCCGATGACCTTTCTACAAGCCCATGTAAAAAATTCCAACTGCAAAAGCAATTGTCAAGAATGACCGTAAACAACCATTGAACAACAACCAATATCAATCACCTAATAATATATTTAATAACTGGTACTAATTTGATTATATTTTGTTTTCATGTTTCCATCCCAAGCAAATGATAAATCTGCTATTTAAAGACGTATTAGAAGCAAACATGACTTAAAGTTAAAAGCAGCAAAAAAATTACTGACCTGAAAGAAGGCAATAATGGTGGACTGTTTCTGACGGAATTACAATGTCATGTCTTCCACAACCAAAAAGTTTGTCCACGTGGCCGATGAAATTTTTTGACTCAAAAAAATTGATATTTTTGACACTGCAACTGAAACGATACCAAATACTAATAAAGTAATATCATATGATTTGAAAGTTACTCGTTCTAGTAATAGTCAAGAGAACTGAGGATAATTGCTGCGAGTGAAAGTAAATTATAATGATAGCAATGCGAACATCACTGATTGAAAATATGCATTGAAGATTTTTTGATGCTTGAAAATTAATGATAAATTACCTATTTTTTATGGAGTCCAGCTAGTCCAATTTCAGATTATTCCAATATAGGGAATAAATAAACTCTCTTCAAGCATCAAAATTCAATTAGAAAAAACTATATAAAAAGGCAACTTTGGAGAGTTTAGAACATTATATAACACTGCTAACTGACATAATATGAGAAATAATTGAATATATAGATATTAATAAGTGAAAAAACACGTACAAATTATATAACAACGAGAAAGAAAAGCAGCCCGTGAGTTGAAAATGATTTCAAAAGTATGTTTGCTAGCATTATTACACGTGTACCTTGAAATTTTATCGAGTAAAGGAGCAGTAGAAAAGTATCGCCTAAAGAAAGTGTCGAGCGGATAACTGGTAATAAATCACAATAAAATTAGAATATTCAAATTTGAAAGAGATATTTACACTAGCAACAATATTTGGCAGAACAGGCTGGGCAGTACTGTAGCACGGAAATTAAATATAACACGGCAAAAACAAATGAATTAAGTAAGCAGAATATATAAAATATAAAAAGTAGCATGCATATTGCTTGAACACACATTGCGAACAAAATGTCATAACCTTTGAACTGTCCATACGAGAAAAATACAGAGAGAAGTGGGTATGGAAGGACGCAAGAAAATAACTCTGCAGATGAGCAAGCACGTATGTAAGTGGAAAATGAGGGAGTGATATGATGTCGAAGAAATTCGC